TGTACCCCACCTCCTGCCCCCTGTAGCAGCCTCTGTACCCCACCTCCCGCCCCTGTAGCAGCCTCTCTACTCCACCTCCCGCCCCTGTAGCAGCCTCTGTACCCCACCTCCCACCCCCTGTAGCAGCCTCTCTACTCCACCTCCCGCCACTGTAGCAGCCTCTCTGCCCCACCTCCCACCCCTGTAGCAGCCTCTCTACTCCACCTCCCGCCCCTGTATCAGCCTCTGTACCCCACCTCCTGCCCCTGTAGCAGCCTCTCTACTCCACCTCCCGCCCCATGTAGCAGCCTCTGTACCCCACCTCCTGCCCCTGTAGCAGCCTCTCTACTCCACCTCCCGCCCCTGTAGCAGCCTCTCTGCCCCACCTCCCGCCCCATGTAGCAGCCTCTGTATACCACCTCCCACCCCTGTAGCAGCCTCTGTTCCACCACCTTCCGCCCCCTGTAGCAGCCGCCGCCCGCTGTAGCAAAATTCTGACGTTGTTATTGATAACGAAAATATTGATGCAACATTATTGATTCGAAACTCACTTGGAATGCCTATATGGAGCATATTTATAGAGGACCCATAGCGATTGTATTTAGGATTTTTAACAATAATAGAGTTTGGCGGGACTAACGAATCTATGCATAGTCCAAACAAAATCGGCCTCCCGTTCGTAAAACGTCCGTGCAGATTTCGTGTGTGCGTGTGTGTGCGTGTGTGTGCGTATGTGTGCGTGTTTTTGTGTGTGTTCAGTCCGAGATTGGTATTACGGACACTGCTCTCTCATGGTTGACATTGAATCTGTCAGGGAGACATCGGTCTGAGACAACATCCCAGGAATGATCTCTGATGAAGCTCCTCACAGCGATAGTCTATTCGCGGAGCTCTCTATACTATCGCTGCCACCAGTCAAAACTCCCCACTGTGATAGGTGGCCCCAACCATGCTTGGAGTTGAACTCGCAACCGAATGACCGTTATGTTTACAAACAAGTGACGACTGTCGTGACGCCGAATACACTTACCGCTGATAAATTACTTTCTTTCTATGTCAATTTGAATTTCTATTTCATTAAAAGTATCATCTTTAATTGATATAGTAAGAATGTAAGGGAGAGGTTGGTTGATTTTCCGTCAGTCTGCAATCTCGAACCAATCTGATTCTTAAAACAACAAAGTAAATTCATCTGGAAAACATGGTCAGTCGTGAACAAAATGAAATATGATGGCATTCCCAAAGACATAATCAGAGAATCAAGCTCCTTCCCAGCGCGTGACACCTTCGTTACACTCTCGGTCACATTGCTGCCACCAGTGTGGGCGCGGCCATTACAAGAATCTTGAAATTTGCCCTCTAACCCCCATATGTAGTAACGTCAAGCTCCTCACAGCAATAGCCCGTTCGCGGAGTGTAACTAAGGTTCACGCGCTGGCAAGTCCGTGGCGCTGGGAAGGAGCTTGGTAGTAACGTTTATAAAGGGAGGTCACTCTAATTTCAAAGGGGAGCTATCTCCGTTGCTTTCGTATTTGCGAGAAATGGTGTTAATCACGCGGTACGTTGTTCTTGGTCCAGCTTTTAAATGCCCAGCTTATCCCTAAGGTAAAACGTATTCTTAATTAAATGTTTTAATGCATTATATATTTATCTTTCCATCCGTACGTTGTTATCAGCACTAAACCATTTTCTAAAATGTGGGCCCACATTGTTCCCGTCATATATGGCGATAGAAACAAGTCGGCCACATTTATATATCGCCTAGCTTCGTTAGGTTGTTTAATTACTGCTGATAATCAATTCCTAAATGTGGGCAGACGTTCATTTATTAATCGCGAAATTCCACTTAATTATTGATAATCATTTTCTAAAATGTGGGCCCGCATTGTTCCCGTCATATATGGTGATCGAAACATGTTGGCCCACATTTGTTTTTCGCCTAGTGGGTAGACGTTCTTCCGTCATAGTGATTGCAACAGGAGGAACCACATTTATAAATCGCTAAGCTTCATTAGCTTGGCTTACTTATAACCATTTTCTTAAATGTGGACCCACTTCTCCCGTCATATAGGCCTAGTGATCGAAACAGGTGGGCCTACATTTGTAAATCGCTGGGCTTCTAGTGTTGAGTGAGTGAGTTAAAATTTTAAGTCACATCGGCAATATTTCAGCCATATCGTGACTATCAATAGTTAATCAGAATACATATATTGAAACTTACATAAAAACCTGTCAACGAAGGACAGTAAAGTAACTAGATTAATCACAGAAAAAGATATAAAACTAGTACGGAATTATAAAAGAGAATAGCACTACATAAAGATAAACGGGCTATAGATCGCCAGCAGCTGAAGGTAGACCACCATACTGGGGACCATGGGGACTTACAGTACGTTTGCTACCTGCATGGACCCCAGCAGCATTTACATCATCCCCACAGCAACTGGCGATTGTATGCAAGGTTAGCCACAAGTAAAAATACAAATATTCTACGTTTAAAAGAGTACTAGGCAGACTTACGATATCCTCTCAGGGGGACAATAATTTTACACTACGTCAACCCCCTTTGAGGATACGGCCAGTAACAACCTCAGATATAATTTCATTCTACCAATTTTAAAAAGTCATTCATTTTATACAAGACTTATAATCAAAATTTATTGAGCTATTCTATCACTTTTAAAAACCCAATAACTAAATGAGAATTAATAGTCTAAAAAAGATCCTTTAGAGAAGATGATTTGAAATATTTATCCCTTGTGATGGCAAAATCAATACAGTGAAGCAGGACATGTTTGACCGTGATTCTCTCATCACAAGGGATACAAAATGGAGGATCTTCACCTTTTAATAAATATTCGTGACTATATCTGCTATGGCCAATACGACATCGTCGTAAAATGACCTCTTCAAATCTAGACTGACAACCCAAGTAGGTGTAACCGATATTTGGTTTAATTTCATGTAATTTATTGATACCTACTTGAGTGTCCCACTTCTGTTGCATTTGATCTCTGATGTAACACCTAATAACAGGTTTGATATCGCCGTATGGGATCAGAAGTGGTGTCACACATTTGTTGAGTGCTGCTTTTGCAGCAGCATCAGCCATGGTGTTCCCAGTGATTCCAACATGGCTGGGTAACCAACAAAAGACGATGTCATATTGGCCAGTAGCAAGTTTATTATATAATTCCATAATTTGGATTGAAAGTGGCTGGTTACATGATATATTGTTTGCGTTGGAAACCTCCGCAAACTCATAGCCCATCAGAACATTGACCACCATAGTTGATACTAAGCTTTCGAATAGTGGAAACTCAGTGGTGGTAGATGAAGCCTACATTTATGAGGGAAAGTATCACCTATTTAAACTATTTGAAAGGTCTAATCCTGCTGTTTATGAAACTATATATATTTTGACGTGGCTGACGGCGCCAGGTACACCGGCCTGCGTTGTTGAAAGAGTTAACGAGCGGAGAACTTTGAAGCTGGACCGTTTCACCAAGCAGTCTCAGTGTTATGATTCATTTACCCTATTTACATCTTAAAATAGACCCGTGAAGATTCCGGGGTGGAATAGGTCTTCAGCAACCCATGCTTGCCGTGAAAGGTGACTATGCTTGTCTTTAAAGGCGACTAACGGGATCGGGTGGTCAGGCTCGCTGACTTGGTTGATGCATGTCCTCGATCCCAATTGCGTGGATCGATTCTCATGATATTAATCACTGGATTGTCTGGTCCAGACGAGATTATTTACAGACCGCCGTCATATAGCTGGAATATTGCTGAGTGCGGCGTAAATCAACAAACCAACCAACCAACATCTTAAAATAAACTATGGCCGTATAAGGGTCTGCTGAAATATAAAACTATCAGTCCGAGAACAAATCTGTCGGCCTCGGGCCTACGGGCCGATGTTTATTTCGAACACTGTCTCACAGATTAATCTCAATGAATACATGCTGAGCTATGGAATCAACTGCCGCTCGAGTCAGCACCCTCTCTAACATCATTCCAGATTGGGCTAAAGGCATATTTGTTTACGACCCGTGAAGATCTGGGGTAGAATAGGCCTTCAGCAACCCATGCTTTCCGTAAAAGGCGACTAACGGGATCGGGTGGTCAGGCTCGCTGACTTGGTTGATGCATGTCCTCGATCTCGATTGTGTGGATCGATGCTCATGACGTAAATCACTGGATTGTCTGGTCGAGACATGCCATCAACTTACCTGTAACAATCGCTTTATAAGGTAAATAGTCTTGGACGCGACGTTAAACCCCATTTCAGTCACCCCACACCTGTAATAATTCCCCCTTCGGTTGACAGTGTCGACATCGTATATAGCTATTTCCACATGTAATCAATGTAGCGCAATAAGCATTCACTGAATTTGGCGCTATAGAGCCGATTATAATTATCCCCCCTTATTTCGAGGAGCCAGGCAGCGTAACAACAAGTAACATCGTGTTATGTCTTTTTGTATGACGCTGTTGGGGATCGAACCAAGCAATATATCGACTTTTCTTCGTTGGTGATAAGTGGAATGTCGATATTTGACAAGGAATGAGTTTGGTTTTAAGAAGAATTTAAAACTTGGCCAACATTATCACGATAGTGGGCTTCAGAAAAGAGTTCATACATTGTACCCATATAGAGAATCGAAACCAGGTCTTCGGCGTGACGAACGAAAGCTACAATCACTGGACTACCCAACCGTCGAATTCAGTATGACACGGGGCAGTCAAGAAACGAATAATATCTCAATAAGAATTTGATGCGAGATGTTGACACATATATCTCGCCAATATATTGGTTGGTCACATGACGTATCATGTCTCGAATCTGGTTGTTGCACCATATCCTCTCACGTGACGGTTGACTTTGCTCCGCGGAAAAGCTTAAGCCAATAGGTTCAACTGTACACGGGGTGTGGGATTGTCGCTGTATCTATTTGAAGATCAGTCATCGGAGACATTGTTATCTCAGTTTGTTCTCTCTAATGTATGCTAGCCATGCAGCTATCTGAATCTGGGTATACAGTCATGCGAGATATAAATAAATAGCATCCCGTGATGTGTTCGTCACTCCATCCAGTGTTTGTTTAGTATCACGACGGCCCCTTGGACGGTAAATATGTTTCATGCGTTGTGCATTTGTTGCTATATCAACACCTGTTCTTGCCAAATTACACTGTTCATTTTCTGTCAGTATATTTGATTTTTCTGTGTTGCTTCGATCTGACTGGCACAACGTTGCGGTATTATTATGAGTGGTTGCCAGGGTTTTCCTACCACGATACACTCACACACCTTTGTAGGGAGCACGGGTGGCCCAGTCGTCTAAGGCGCCGCGATTCGCTGTGCAGAGTTGCGTCCCTTGGGCACGCCAGAAACCTATAAATTGTGGGTTCGAATCCCGGTTCGCCCCGATCATGTTTCTAGGTTTGTCAGCACCATACCCGTGCTTGTGGGTTTCACCCAAGTGGTAAACGTCTGAGACCTGCATCACTTCGGGCTTTCCTCCCACATTAAGCTGACACGCCGTGATATGACTGGAATACTGTTAAAAGCGGCGTTAAACCCAACTCACTCACTCACACACCTTTGTAACCGAAATACATTTCCAAACTCCCGGCTGGAGTCCTGGTTATAAGGCCGTCACCCATTTATCAGATATCCCATTTGTCAGATGCCCACTTTGCAGATACCAGTCCTAATAGACCTATCCCTCTGTATAATTAAGACCAAATGCATAAAGACCTTTGAATCTATAGGTGACAGAGTTGATCTACTCAGAAACAATAGAATCACATGCTAATCTATTTTCCACCCATATAATACAATGTTCCATTTGATCCTGAAAACAACTTAAATGTTTAAGTTCTCATCTAAGCTTCTTACGAGGGTATTGCTGTTTCCGAGTTTTCATGATTTTATAAGATTATGCACATATTGTCAGAGATCTGAATTTGTCATGAATATGGCGTGTTTGCGGCAAGTTGATGGTGTTAAATCGCAGAGAGGTTCATCCCATTACCTCTGCAGCAAGAACAAGATTATGAGATTATGTGTGTTCCCTGGAGATGCGTCACTAAGACACGTGCAGGGAAATGTCGTGGTGATGTTGTACTGGAGAGAGTGAGTGAGTGAGTGAGTGAGTATGGTTTTACGCCGCTTTTAGCAATATTCCAGCAATATCACGGCGGGGGACACCAGAAATGGGCTTCACACATTGTACCCATGTCGGGAATCGAACCGGGGTCTTCGGCGTGACGAGCGAAAGCTTTAACCACTAGGCTACCAGACCGCCCCGTACTGGAGAGAGAGATTGCGCCAGGGGGTCAAGACCCCACAGGAGTTATTTTGGCGCAGTGGCCAGACTTGTGAAATTGGGTTGACTCTTGTAATCGGTTCCAAAAGGGCTAAATGGCGCATGCATGTTATGCACCTTGATGATGATAATAATAATAATAATAGTAACAACAACAACAATAATAATAATAATAATAATAATCATCATCACCATCATCTCAGCTCCCTAAGGAGTATACAACCCAAGCTGCCTGTGACGCGCTAGAAGGTTAACAACCATTGTCATCTCATCCTACCGGGTACCCACTCACTGCTGGGTGAACAGAGGCACATTTCGAACAAAGTCACTTGCCTAAGGAGACAGCACATGTGCTGCATGTGCTTCAGTGTTGGGCTGGACCAAAACCTGTGGTACTACCTCACATCTTTATCTATTATTTATTTATAATAATTCTCTTGAGGTGTCTGACAAACGGGAATTGAGATTTTTGTTAGAGACAGGAGATCTTTTCGGCCTCTGCCCCTCAACAAAAAAATTCTGCTCCGAAAGAAAATGTTTTCTTCACAACATTTCTTTTCGTGACATCGAACGAACAATCTACGTTATCAAATGTTTCAATGTTTTACAGAAACCATGAAAGCTGCCACGCCCCCCGCTGAACAGACGCGGGTCAACTTGACCGTGCGCCACTTTGGTCATAATCAAAAATCCCTGGTCGAAGCCTACATCTTGGCCTTTCTACTGGGGCCTCTGGGGGCTCATCATTTCTACCTCGGTCGACCCTGGTATGGTGTGGCGTACTTCTTCACGTTCGGCTTGTTCGGGGTGGGGTACATCGTAGACCTGTTCCGAATCCCCCTGCTGGTGAGACAGGCCAATATGAGACAAGTGGATCCATCCCTAGCAGACAAAAAGAATCTTCTCGACGCCTACGTCTTGTGGTTTCCATGTGGGTTAATGGGTAAGTGTTTTTTTTTATAAATTAAGTGAGTTAGTATTGTTTTACGCCGCTTGCAATACTAGTCCTGAATATCACTGCGGGAGACACCGGAAATGGGCTTCACACAATTTACCCATGTGGGGAATCGCACACAGGCCATCTACGTGAAGAGCCTACGCTTTAACCACTTGGCTACCCATCATGGTTCAAATATTGTAGGACCGCCTCCGTGGTCTTGTGGTAGAGCGTCCGCCCGGAGAGCGAAAGGTCCAGGGTTCGATCCCGGGCCGCGTCATACAAAAAGACGTTAAAAGATTGTACTTGTTGTTACCCTGTCTGGCGCTCGGCATTAAGGGGCTAAAACAAGGACTGGTCGGCTCGGAGTCAGTATACTGTGTCTGAGTGGGGTATTCATGTTAAACTGCGGCATGGTATCTCAGTGAGCTAGCACTATAAATCGGCATCAGTCCGGACTAGTACAAGCAGCCACACACACACATACACGTGCATGCACGTCGCTATATAAGTGCAATAATCTTGGACGCGACGTTAAACCCAATTTCACCTCACCTCAAATATTGTATTATTGTTTACAATTTTTTTGTAAATAAAATGCATTTATGGTTATATTCGTAGTTCAAGCTATTTGTATGTGTGAAATGTGATAGCTGCTTGTGTTTATTTCCATTGTGTGATGAACAAGCAAAGAGTTTGTGAAGTTAACAGCCTAAACACTAAGTTATCACAGCATTGTTGGGGAACGCTTGGACAACAGCGTTGGCGAGATATAGTTGACGTAGACACAGCAGGAGATAGTTGACGTAAACACAACATGTACGTTGAGGCAACGTTGGTAGGATATAGTTGACGTAGACACAGCAGGAGATAGTTGACGTAAACACAACATGTACGTTGAGGCAACGTTGGCGGGATATAGTTGACGTAGACGCATGTACGTTGAGGCAACGTTGGTAGGATATAGTTGACGTAGACACAGCAGGAGATAGTTGACGTAAACACAACATGTACGTTGAGGCAACGTTGGCGGGATATAGTTGATGTAGACGCATGTCCGTTGAGGCAACGTTGGTAGGATATAGTTGACGTAGATGCAACATGTACGTTGAGGCAACGTTGGTGGGATATAGTTGACGTGGACGCATGTACGTTGAGGCAACGTTGGTAGGATATAGTTGACGTAGACACAGCAGGATATAGTTGACGTAAACACAACATGTACGTTGAGGCAACGTTGGTGGGATATAGTTGACGTGGACGCATGTACGTTGAGGCAACGTTGGTAGGATATAGTTGACGTAGACACAGCAGGAGATAGTTGACGTAAACACAACATGTACGTTGAGGCAACGTTGGCGGGATATAGTTGACGTAGACGCATGTCCGTTGAGGCAACGTTGGTAGGATATAGTTGACGTAGACACAGCAGGAGATAGTTGACGTAAACACAACATGTACGTTGAGGCAACGTTGGCGGGATATAGTTGACGTAGACGCATGTACGTTGAGGCAACGTTGGTAGGATATAGTTGACGTAGATGCAACATGTACGTTGAGGCAACGTTGGCGGGATATAGTTGACGTAGACGCATGTACGTTGAGGCAACGCTGTCGGGTATAGTTGACGTAGACACAGCATGTACTTTAAAGGCAACGTTGGCGGGATATAGCTGACGTAGACACAACATGTACGTTGAGGCAACGTTGGCGGGATATAGCTGACGTAGACACAACATGTACGTTAGGGCAACGTTGGCGGGAAAAAGCTGACGTAGACACAACATGTACGTTGAGGCAACGTTGGCGGGAAATAGTTGACGTAGACAAAACACGTACGCTAAGACAACACTGGTGTGATCTAGATAACGAAGATACGCCACTGATATGACACAGATAGCTTAGCATACATGTAGTACCAATGTTCTGTGTCAATTGACTGCGTCACGCTCGACCCTGCGTCGTAACAAGGTCGTTTTGATAATTGTACCACGATGTAAAAATGACGTAGACACATTGACGGCATCTGACAAATAAGGCACTAGGTTTTAACAAAATGTTGTTTTACAATTGATAGGTACGCCCTTCTTTTGATATGTTGATGAAATACGTTAATAATAAAGTTCAAAAGTAACTGTTTCATTGTTTTGTAATACAGATACAACCATTGATATTGTTGATGTATTAAAATTTCTTAAGAAAATGGACCCGTGAAGATCCGGGATAGAATAGGTCTACAGCAACCCATGCTTGCCGTAAAAGGCGACTTTGCTTGTCGTAAGAGGCGACTAACGGGTTCGGGTGGTCTTGCTCGCTAACTCGGTTGATGCATGTCATCGTATCCCAATTGCGTTGATCGATGCTAATGATATCAATCACTGCATTGTCTGGTCCAGATTCGATTATTTACAGACCGCTGTCATATAGCTGGAATATTGCTGAGTACGGCGTTGAACAACAAACAATCAATCAATCATACGAAAATGGCGATGATACTAATAAAATTGTTGATCTAATTGTTGATTCGATAGTTGCGATACTACTGATGACATTGTTGATATGTTTGAAATATTTGGGATATATGAATTGGGGTATCATGATGTTAGAGATGGTGTTGATGATGTTGATTCTACCAACGATATTGTTGATATTTTCTTAATGTTTTCTATAAATCCACCAATGATATTGTTGATATATTTTTAATGTTATTAATAATGTTGATACTGTAAATAATGGCGTTGGTGGTATTCTGATGGTATCGGGGGTCGTATAGAGTTGCGTCCCTTAGGCGTGTCAGAGACGTTTGATCGTGCGTTCGAATCCCTGATCATGTTTCAAGGTTTGTCACCATCATACTGACCCGTGACAATCCGGGGTAGAATAGGTCTACAGCAACCCATCCTTGCCGTAACAGGCGACTAACAGGATCGGGTGGTCAGGCTCGCTGACTTGGTTGATGCATGTCATCGTATCCCAATTGCGTGGATCGATGCTCATGGTGTCAATCACTGGATTGTCTGGTCCAGACTCGATTATTTTAAAACCGCCGTCAATATAGCTGGAATATTGCTGAGTGCGGCGTTAAACAAAAAACAAAAAACAAACAAAAACTGAAGTAGACATTGATTTTACATGGATAAAATATTTTATGAACGCTTCATGACTCTGGCCAGAGAGTAGAGTTCAGTTGCTTCCGTTTCTTATGATAACCGTGGATTCTGTTGTTTTTGTTTGCAATACTCTCACTCCTTATTTACTACCCCCAGGTTTTCATCTTTTCTACCTGAGGAAACCCGGCCAGGGTATCCTGTATCTGATGACCTTTGGCCTTTTCGGAATTGGCTTCCTCGTTGACCTTTTCCGGATGCCGTACCTCGTGAGGGAGGTGAACGACTACCCACCAGGGTACAAGCCACCCAAATCTGTATTCGAGGCCTACATGTTCGGGTTGTCTCCCCTTGGGTTCCTTGGCGCTCACCATTACTACCTCAACAGGCCATTCTGGGGCATTTTGTACACGTTAACACTGGGCTTGGTGGGCTTGGGGTGGCTGTATGACTTGTTCCGGATGCCGTGTCTGGTGCGGAGGACGAACGAGATAAATGCAGGGGAACGAGACGCCGGACTGAGGCATGTGGATGATGTCTATATTCTCTGGTTCACATACGGCTTGAGCGGAGCTCATCACTTTTACCTCGGCCGGCCGTTGTGGGGATTGTTGTATTTCTTGACGCTTGGCCTATTTGGGGTTGGTTGGCTTGTTGATGTGTGCCGGTTGCCTGGCTTGGTTAAAGACTTCAACCGGAACTACGTTGAACGTCAGCTACTGGCACAGCAGGCTCGGCGACAGCTCGGAGGAGTCGTCACGACGACGGTGACAGGGCAGACTGTTGTGGCGACCACGCTCCCAGGAGTGCCAATCATGAACTCGCCCAACCAGGCACTGCCCCCACCGTATGGCCAGGTCTACCAGGGGAGTTACCAGAGCATCATTCCTGGACAACCTAGCTACCAGGCACCGCAGGGATACCAGCAACAGCAGGGATACCAGCAACAACACGGACATCAACAGCCGCAGGGATATCAACAACAGGGGTATCAACAACCACAGGCGACAAATGGGTACCCGGGAGTTTCTAACGTGGCATTCGATCCCAATTCTGGTAGGTATATTTCAACATGCATTATATACTTAATGGATTGTTTGTGTTTTTACGCCGCACACAGCAATATTCGAGGTATATGAAGGCAGTCTGTAAAGAATTGAGCCTGGATTATGTAACCCAGTGATCGATATTTTGAGTGCCTTGGGAAGATGATCTTCAACATGATAATCCGATTTTAAAATTAGTACTGTGAACGTCATAATTGTCGTGACTTTGACGGGAGAGGTTGGTTTTGGAATTCCGGGTGGTGGAAAAAATACAAATACAACATAAAACCTGGTTTCTAGACAATTATGAAAACAAATTTCTGATCAGAAACATTTCTGTTTCATGGCCTTACTGAAACTCAGCTGTTTGTGTTTCAGGCTCCCCAGCGGAACAGCCCCCGCCTTATGAGGAAACAAGAACTGACGTCAAGAACGGCCCTCCTTTCTAGCTGTAACCATAATCGGAAACTGGTAACTTAAATTATCTGCCCTTTAACTTTTATTAAGAAAAACACCTTGCAACCATATAATGTTTATTCAACAGTCTGAAGCATAAATATTTTGTCGAATTTTCTGGGACAATAAATTTTATTTTTGTCGATAAATTCCCAGCCCAATATGTCTATAACTGTACATAAAAATGTTGTAAATAAAAATGGTCACTTTTTAAACGTGTTTGTACATGCCTTTTATCACGCACCTTTTAGAATATGTGCAGGTAAAGGTAAAGAGTGTTTGTGTGTGTGTGCGCGCGCGCGCGTGCGTGTGCGTGTGCGTGTGCGTGAGTGTATGCGCAAGTGTATGCGTGAGTGTGTTTGTTTGTTATTGTGTGCGCGTGTTGTGTATGTGTTTTGTATGTGTGTGTATCGTATCCTGTGTGTGCGGCTTTTTTATTTTTGTGTGCTTGTGCGTGCGTGTTTTTTGTGTGTGTTTGTGTTTTGTTTAATTATTTTTTATATTTTTTTGTGTGTGTTTGTGTTTGAAGGTACCATGTTAAGCGTATAAAATTATTATATCCTGGGCAGATATATTTTACGAGCGTTTCTTTAGACTGTCGTAACGCATTTATACATAAATTAAACAAATATCAATACATGTTGTTTCGACGGTATATAGGTCAGAAAAAACACTTCTCGGTTTTCGTTGATAATGTAAACTCCCGGCCCTTCTTCCCTCGCGCCAGTCCCTTCTCTTCGGATTCTACATGTTCAACCAAAACGTCCGTGTTTTCCCCTATACTTAGTACAGGGATATAGAGGTGCTCCATCACTAACAATGACAAATACAGTCACAATACGTGAAGCCTATTCCTGGTGTTCCAGCGTCCTTGAATGACTATTACAAAAAGCGGCGTAAAACTAAACTCACTCATTTACTTCTTGCTGTTGTGTGTGGAACCCATTTCTGTCGTGACCCTGTGCTGGCGTAGCTGGGATATCGCTAAAAGCGGCATGAAATCCTACTCACTCACTCACTCACTCGAGGAGATAATCAGTTTATATGGGTTAATCAAGACGTCTTATCGAAACATCTAAGTGAGAGATAACCGATGTCCTCCTCGAGATCAAAGAGGGTAAGTAATGGCCACTTTTCCTCGTTTCTGGTTTCACCTTTGACCCTTGGTACTTACGACAGCATTTGACCTACATTAATGCAATATTGGTGACACGTGTAAACGCGTCAAACCACTCACTCGAGAATGTACTCAACATAGAGATGATAAGTCAAAATATAACACACGCTATATAACGTCACCACCACGGTGACAGAACGAGATCGGTAAACTGCCGGGCTAACGAACGTATGCGCCAATGTTTGATGGCAGTAAAAAACAAACAAACAAACAAACAAACAAACAAGAAATGGCAATTCGATGTTGATGTACAGTAAACTACGGTTATGACGAACTCAAAGGGACAAACTAATTTTAGTTCGTTGTAGCCGTGGTTCGTTAAATGCATATAAACAGCATAACTACAGCAAATAGTCGGGACAAAAAAAGTAAGTTCGTTATGTCCGCCAGTTCGTTATAAGCGTGTTCGTTATAACCGTAGTTTACTGTATTTGATACGATATGTTATAATATTCCGTTCACATGCGCAATATTTACCCACGTAAGTAATGTTACACAGGTGTAACTATGTAAACATGTGAATGTGTCATTTCACTATGAAATGAAAATCAACTTAGGTGTGTAGATAATGTATGTAAATTGTGTAAGGCACTCATATTCGTCAGTGTGTTCACGACTTTCAACATAAAACAGGTTGTTTTCCAATCAAAATTGAATGAGAAGAGAGGTACTTTACAGAAGATTTTCGCGTGAAGCAACACGTGTTTTGTGTGTAAAGAAAAACATATTTAGCAAATCCGAAACATGAGTAAAACGCTCACTCCCTCTCTCCCTCACTTACTCTGGGTATTAAAATGGCTTACTAAAACTACTAACTAATTATACTTTCATTGTAAATATGTCATTATTGTGTCCTAAAATAAGACCATTCTCCTGTTATTTTCTCACAATCTTTCATTAGTAAACAAGCACCGTCTGCTGTCACGTGACATCGGTGGTACGTATTGGATCGTGAACCACTAGTAGCGACAGCAATAACACGATAACGGTAAACTAAGATACACATTTAATGAATGGGATATAGGTATTGTGAACATATTTTGGACCCGTGAAGATCCGGGGTGGAAAAGGTCTTCAGCAACCAATGTTTGCCGTAAAGGCGACTATGTTTGCCGTAAAGGCGACTATGATTGTCGTAAAGGCGACTATGATTGTCGTAAGAGGACACTAAGGGGATCGGGGGATCAAGCTCGCTGACCTGGTTGGTGTATGTCATCGTATCCTAGTTGTGTTGATCGATGCTCATGATGTCAATCACTGGATTGTCTGGTCCAGACTCGATTATTTACAGACCGCCGTTAAACAACAAACAAACATGGCTTTATTAAATTCACTCAGCTTGCACTATCTATGATGTGGTTAGTATTGGACACAACGTTATAGTATGAATGAATCCTGTAATATAACTGACAACTGAACAATTAAAATAAAATATTTACAGACAAAGTGAGAGGAATATTGAAGTGATGCAGGGCTCAGAGAGGAGTACGGGTATGGTTATGTCAACCCAAGAAATAATTCAAGGTGAATCTAGGATTCAGGATCATAGATTTCTGGTACGTCAAAGAGACGCAACTCTGCACATCAAATGGCAGCAGTTCAGAAGGCTTGGCCACCATGCCATTCACACTAATTTTTTTATTCAAATCGGGGGAGGTGTTAGGGAGGGGAGGGAGAAATATAATCAAGGAAAATCAAGGATTCAGGTTCATAGATTTCTGGTTCCCCTAAGAGACGCACCTATGCACAGCAATATTGCAGCGCTTCAGAAGGTGGCCACCTTGCGTACACATTATTTTTCTTTATTCCAATCGTGGGAGGTGCGTGCATGCGTGCGTGCGTGCGTGCGTGCGTGCGTGCGTGCGTGCGTGCGTGCGTGCATGTATGTATGTATTTGTAAAACGTTCGGCCAAAAATATTTGTCCTTTTTTTCTGGAACACATTATTTCTTTGACAAATATGAAAAGGTTGGTCCAGAAGTTAGGGAATGAGACACACAACTAACCGCTTCTTATTTCGCGTTCCTCCAATCTTAAGTGAAAATGTTCTGTTTGTATGTTTCACATGGATGCTGTAGATAAATCCAGAGAAACGTAAATTATAAAACAGATGGTCTTCATGATACAGAACACTGAACACCGGGCTCCACACTAAGGCCAGTCTCTCGACCTTCTTCTCCAACAGCGTCAGTTTCTTGATGAATACACTGCGTCCGAAATAGAGCGCATTTTCTGAAGGATTTAAAGACATGCCATGCAAAGCCACTCCCCTGTGGACGACCCTTGTCTTCCCCGCGTAATCCACTGAGAGAATCTGGTGAGGGAGACACACGTACATTAAGTCACGCACCGTGTCCATCGATATAGCCGAAGGGTAGTCGCCCCTTTCAAATCTTTGCAATACGACATTAAACATAAACGTGAATGACGTCCCATTTGTAGCCAGTGTGTATATACCAAGCTGAGTACTAAGAATGGCAAGTACAAATATACCCCTCGTGTTGTCCAAGGTCATTGCATTGCATACAACCTTCCCCTGTATAAGTTTTGAACTGCTGTTTTCCATGTACGCGATTAAAAGTTTATCTGGTTGAGCTGAAGACGTCAGTAAGGTACGTGTTGTGGCACAGTACGCCATGGCCTTGACGAGGGTGAAGGTTACGTTGGTATAGACGTCATGTGACCTCTCTGTGATTGAATAACGGTAGACAGCGCCGGGCCGGTCTGACAGGTATTGTGTAATCAACAGTCCCGCACTTCGCTTTGGTTTCATTGATGTCCCGAGTAACGCTGAAAAATATAAACGGTAAACTACGTTTATAAGGAACACGGTTATAACAAACTGATGGATATAACGAACATATTTTTGCTCCCGGCCATTTGCTGTTTATATGCTTTTAACGAACTACGGTTATATCGAACTAAAATATGTGGTTCCTTAGAGTTCGTTATAACCGTAGTTTACTGTACATTACCAGGGCACTATGAACATACGTCATCGCCGACAGAAGACGCGAAGCTACCATGAACACGTGTCGCCCCGGAGACGCGTGTTAGTCTTGCCAATTTAGTTAACGCGGTCGAATCCCCAGAGAGCTAAGATTGACTGGTTAGTTAAACATGGAATACGCCCTTCACCTTATAACTTGTTATAATCAATTTGTTACTTTTACACATCTAAACAATGCATAACATGAAAAACATTGTCCTTTTACCATATTAAAGTGCGTTGTTTGTTTGTATATTTCTTGTTTAACAATAATATTCCAGCTATATGAAGACGGTCTGTAAATAATCGAGTCTGGGTCAGACCATCCAGTGATCGATAGTGTCAGAAAAAATCCATGCCTTCGGGGTACTATGGCACACAATCAACAAGGGCACCGAGTCGAACCCGAAATCCCAATCGGGCTGCAAGCATAATGGGCCGCCGTGAATATTCTTCCTATCTAAGAACATTTATTATCCTATTCTGAAACATAGAAATTGTGACCATAATCTATCTGTCGATGTTGGCCGTTGGCTTGGTAGTGATAGACATATCAGGACATGTAAACTGTGTATGTCGACAGCTATAGCCGATGAATACCACTACCTGGTTAAATCTGAAGCGTTTCGTGAATCAAGATCTAAACTTATCTCGAATATAAATACGCAGCTTCCGAATACAATAGAGTACAACAAATTGTTGAGTACCAGATATTCCAAAGAACCCAAGAACCTTCCAAAATTCATACGTATAATAGATAAGTACCTTTGAGTGTGACTGTATATGTGTGAGTTTCTGTTTAAATGTGCGTACAAATGTGCGTACACATTTTCATGCGAAATGTTTAAATGTCGCCAAATATTTGTACAGTATAACCGACAACTTGTTAGATATTAATTATTATTTAAAAAAGTTTTTCTCCTGTTCCACCGTTGGTGGTTCGTTTTTAAAAAGAAATGATTGAATTGATAAACAACAAGATGTTTGTTTAAATGTCACCACCCATCCCTGGAAGCCTGAGAAACCCTTCCATTTGGATGTTTGCA